GTACAACGCTCGTCCCGATAATTGCTTTTATTGGCCTGCCATTGCGCTGTGGGGACCGCCAGGTGGTAGATGAGCCACAACAGACCTGCCTGCTTCTGATTCGACAAAGATTGCAGCAGTGCACACTGCTCTCTCCATTCCCTCTGTTGCCACCGGTACAGGTAGATCACGGGAAGCCACTCTCGTTTGGCCCATCGGTCCACCAGTTCTTCACGCAGATCCAATGGGGGGAGGAGGGAGCGGTACATGATCTCGGTAGTCACTTGAGGGAGCCGGACTTTTTGTTTATTATAGTTCTGCTTAGACCAGCTCCATTCTTGCGGGTCAATCGCCAGCTCTCGCCTTGTACTGCAAATCCGAAAGGGTCGGGCACTTCCCAGCCCCCCCTCTTTTTTCTTCTCTGCGCATACCGCCACCGTCTCAATTTCATCAGTTCTCCACCGCGTCTCCGCACCAGGTCCTACTCTCATTGGGGTTCCCAGACCCTCATACCCAGTCACCACGTTCCATGCTCGTGTCACCACCTCCTCACCCTATACCTGTGTGATCTGGTATACCTGCAGGGGGTGTGTCTCTCCCTTGCGTCTCACCCATTCTCCCCCCACTCTATGGTCCTCCCTCAGTGTATCCACCCATTGCGTGGGAATAGCCCGCTAAAGGGCGGATAAGTTTTGCCGCCTCCGGAACTTGTGGGGGAGCCGCACTGCCATGTCAGCCTCTTTCCTCCAGTCCCTCTCTTCCTCGTCCCACAGGTGCCCAATCTTAAAAACCCCACATTCCGCCCAATGCTTCCCAAAAGCTCCAGGCTTCCCCTGCCATGGGAACGGATCACCCGTATCGTCACATATGCAGGGGGTGTCAAAGAGGAGTTGATTATAGACATCGTCAGCGGTGACCGGTAACTCCTGCTGTAATTGGAGCTTTTTCCACAACGTTAGCGCAGCGGACCAAATCTGGTTCCTCTTGACTTGGCTAACGAGGCCTGGGCTGGCCAGCGCCACTAAGACCATTTGCTCTGTCATGCCAAGCGCCAGGGCCAAATGCTGAGTGGTAAGGCTCTCCCACACTGTGCCCGTCGTCTCCAACAAAAACCACAGCAGGTTGCGCAGCTGAAGCGCCGTCATCTGCAGTTCTGGGTCCAAGATCCCCAGCCCCCCTTGACTCCTGGGCTGGGTGAGCTTCGACCAAGCCACCCTGGGGATTACCGACTTCGCTTCCACATCTCCCGCCCACAGGTATCTATGCACCGCTGCCCGCAACTGCCGGAAAACCCGCCTCTTCGGCATGTGGATGGCCCCAGCATACCACATCGTGGACAGCACCGAATTTTTAAGGACGAGGGCCTTGCCAAAAACTCCCCGATGCGTCCTCTTCGCCCATCGCCCCAGCCGCAGAATTGTTGTCGCCGCCAATCCTTCCATCTGCTGAGCACCCCCTCCCACCGGATGAATCAGGGTCCCCAAAAAACACAGGTTTTCACCATCCGCAAAGGTGGGCACATCCCAGCCTTCTGGGGCAATATAGCCCTGTGGGAGGATGGCCTGCGACTTCCGCCAATTCACCCTGGCTCCTGAGTATAGTGAAAACAATTCCAGATCCATTTGGAGGCGCCTTCATTGCTGTGTGGTAGGAGGGATGACTGCACCGGTATCATCTGCAAAGGCAGTGGACTTGAGGACCATATCTTGTCTCAACTGCAGTCCCTGCAGAGCTTCATCCCCTCGGAGGAGGTCGTGTAGGGCCTCTATGTAGATGACATACAGAGCATGTGAAAGCGGGCATCCCTGCCGTACCGATCTAGTAAGTTGCAAAAAAACGGAGCGCACCCCATTCACTTGCATACACGTGCGTGCTGCAGCTAGGAGCAGTCGAGTCCAGTTACAGAAAGTTTCCCCAATGCCCCGCCGATGCAAACTTTGAAAGAGGAATTTCCATCTCACCCGGTCATAGGCTTTTTCAAGGTCGATTGTAACAAAAGCCAGTGGCTGGTCGCAGACCTCCTGGTGCCTAAGGATCTGTCTAGCCAGCATAATGTTCGAAACAATCTGCCTCCCCGGAACAAACCCCGCTTGAGCGGGGTTGATAATACAAGGCAGCACCTCATTGAGCCGGTTCGACAGTACCTTGGCGAGGATCTTGTAGGGAGCATTGAGGATTGATATACCGGCAAGCAAAAAGAGTCACAGTGAATTAGAAAGGGTGGTAGAA